AGCATATCATGTGGGAGTGTGAGATGTTAGAAAAATAAAGGTTTGGGTCATCCCCCATGTGGGATGACCCGACCCACAAGTTATTAAAAGGGTTGGAGGGAGTGGTTTGAATTTGAAGTTCAAACATGCAACTTCATATAACCATCCTTAATTCTCATACAACCTCCAATTATTGTGCATTGGAAAAAGGGGGAATAAAATGTCATGAAAATTGAAGGGAAAATTCGTATGGAAATTTTCACCAAAATTGGAAAGTCCTTAGAACCATATTTTGGACATGAAATCTCACAAAAAAAAATGACACTTAGATTGTGGATAATAATCTCCTTCCATTGTGATCAAAATTGGAACCATTGGAGAATAAGAAATGCAGATTTTGGAGTTTTGGAATGCAAGATGATTCAACTATCGAAAGATCTTGGAATTCATCATTTCAAATAAGTTTCTTGAACCGAAATTCATGTTAAAGAATGCTATGAATTCTTACAGATTATAAGATGAAAACTTGATTTTTAGGTTAGGACTTTAAATTGCACACCATTTTGTGGAAAGAGTAAGAAGGTAGATATTAGTGGGTTCGAACCCGCACAACATGGGTCTGCTAACGATCTTTTAAATTTGAATTGTTGGTTGTTTACACGAATTTTTTTTATCAGTGTAACTAAGCCTAGTAGTAAGTTGTTTGAATGACAAATAATCTATACATAGCACGTTTTTCTGCCAGAAGAATTACACAATTTTTAAATGCAATCATTACTGCTGTGAATCACTCCTCTCTATATTTTGCTTTCGTTTTTTTGTAAAATAAATAAATAATAATAATATATTGAGTTTGCAACTTTTACTGATTGTCATGTTATTTTCGTAAGAAATGAAATTCGTTCTATCCTAAAGACGATTGTTAAATGTCTTTTAAGTATCATAGAAATGAACAAATTCTTCTTAAATACAAATCGTGAAATCAATAGGCTAAAATTATAATTTTGTTCGTGATTAGTTCATGTTCGATTATGTTGATCATATTGTTTTGGCTTGATCCCGGTGATCATATTGTTTCAATTTTATACTTATTCAATCTCGTTCCGATTATTTGAAAGTATTTTCAAATTGTTTGAAGACAAAAATGATACTCCAAAAACAAGAAGACTGTGTTAAATGCTCCAATAGTTCAAATTAGACTTTTATTTTTAAAATATAAATAAATTACTATAACTTCGTTTGAGAACTCTTAATTTAATTGATTATCGTTTCACTAAGAAGTGAACGCGAGTAAAATTTGGAATTATAGCATAAAAAAATAAATTATT